ACACACACACACACACACACACACACACACACACAAGGAAATTCTGTGCACTTTGTTTCATACATTCATTTAGACGTAAAATTCATGATGACAAATTTATATTATCAACGAACTGCTACGAATGACAAATTACTACATGTTAAAGTATTCACAATCATAGATATCTTTCAGCTATAGAAATAAACTTGAAATAAATTTAATGAAGAGAATCCATACAGCATTATAACAATCGAAAATACATGCTGATACTATGTAATATTGCTGTTTTTGTAAAACATTACAGCAAAAGGTAAAAAGACACTACCATGCAAATCATTAAAACTTAGAAGAATAATGAACCACAGCCAGCATTTCCTAAATGCTTTGGTTCACTTCCATCAACATCACTTCGTTATGAACGTGGTGAAGGCGGCAAAAAAATTCAAGCTGTAATTTTAAAGCTACAGAAACTAATTTACATAAGCTGCCACAAATAGTATCATACCATATAATATTACAAATCATTCAAAAATTTTCGCATATCTTACCATTCAATTCATAAAGCAGCATAATGCTTTTCTTAACCTATGTTACCTAACTGTGCTTAATATATATTGCTGGTCACTCAAGAATTCTTTACGTCATATTACGTAATGATCGTATTTTTAGTGAGCAGTCGGCACCACATGAAAAGAGACGAATTTCTGGATCAACATATAGTTGTTGCACACCTTGTACTACTGAAGCCACTTGACGTAAACTGAATCCTCCTCGAGCAACATGTTCACCATCAAGCGAAGTTACAAGCTGTGGTACAAGATCAGCATTCCAGACCTATTGGATTTATTCTTATTAATGAAGTTTACAATAAGACAGAAATCAGGCAAAACACCGAACAGAAAATTACCAAAAGAAAATGTTAACGATTCGGAAACAATAAATGGAAAGTGAATATTTCCCACTTTACCAAGCACTTTTGGTGAATCCATCAACTCTTTTTCTAAATCTATAGGTAGTCTCCTCCACGAATAATCAATAACCTTTATATCCCCATCGTTCGATCCAGCAACAATGATTTGCTGAAATGGATCACTCACAAGACATTTGACAGAAGAATTTTCGAAACACTTCACTGTTGTACGAAGTCGACGCTGTCGAACATCCCATACACACAATTCTCCATGTCGTCCGCCAGACACTATTGTCTAAACATTGTTTAAATACCATTTCTTTTTAAAATATACTAGAAACTTACAACAAACGAAACTTTTATGAAAGATAAGTTTACAACATACAAGCACAATTTTTCTGATATCTTCCATTCATCATTTTACCAGCACTCTTTGTTTCCCACAAAACTATCTTTAAAAAATTAAAAACCTGATATGATGATAAATACATCACAGAAGTTGCTCCCTCAGGATGTGTTGTCCAGGAATGAATGAGTGCTTTTGACTGCGGCATAAGGGTATCCCAAAGGTTAATGTTTTCGTCAGACAAGCTTAGACCTGCAGTAACCAGAACAGAAGAAGTAGAACCCAAAAACCGAACATCTGCTGCAGATTTAGAATGACATTTCTGGTTCTGAAATAAAAATAAAAATTACTCACAACTTTGGTGTGTAAGCGTATTGTCAGGAATCAAAGAACTCACGAAAAATGGCTTTTTAATTGGCAATCCTTGAGTTGTCTGCCATAAACATAATATCCCATCGTTGTCAACCGAAGCAAATTTGCTCCCATTGAAGGAGAATAACACTTTCGTTACCTGACATAAGAAAAAAGTCACCAATAATTTATAACACTAATCTAAATAAATCTTTGGAATCACAAGAAAACAAACTTTGGCATATTGCCCAGCTATCCGAGGTGTAAAAAAAGGCTGTCCAACTCCCCATTCCCACATTCGTATTGAGCCATCCGATGATCCACTTACATCTGCAAAATAATGTACTACTTATAAAAATTATGAACACTAATGAGAATCACTGAAGAATAATTTAAGATGCCGTGTCTCAACCAATACATCAGTGCTCTCAGCGCATATCAAATTTGACTGTAAAATTTTCTCAAAATTAAAGCGACGATGCCAACGTCAATGACAGAAAAAGAAACAGATTTAGTAAATTTAATATTGAGTAAAAATAAAACATACAATAAGGCATTGTTGGATGAGAATCAAGCCGCCGTATTCCATTAACTTGTCTTTTATACATCTGCAAAAAATGTACTAAAAGATAAGGCTCATAATAGTATAATTTTCATGATCATGCAAACAAACAAATGCATGCATGTACACAAGTTCAACACAAGCCTTTACCTTTTACTGATATAATTTTTATATTTGCACTACATTTAAAGTAAAAATTGCGTCTTTGGCAAAGTTAACCAGTAGGAACTTATGCGACACAACAACTAGAACATTTTATAATAGAGATACCTTTATCAAGGCCCTTCGGCTTCTATCAACAATAAATGGAGTCATCTGCATATATCAAAATAAGTAAATTACATGACCAAGTCCGCAAAATTAAGAAGAATGCATAACTATAAGTTTCGATATGTTTTGCCTAATTGGGGCTAAAAAAATATGGTATTAACAACAAATAGAAGTGCTTACTGTATTTATGGTGGTGGCTTGTAGTCCATTTTCAGTTATTAATTGATAGTCATCGTTATCCTGAAACTCTATTACAGTTACCCACAGATTCAAAGATTATTTTTTAAAGAATGATTTGCTTTTAAGATCCTTTAAATTTGTAATTTTTTTTTACTGAAAGCAAAGGACAGTGGATTTATGTTTATCCAAGGCTACACAAGCTAGGAAAGGTATTTTTAACCCACTTCCAAAGGTTGGCGGAAACTGGAATCGTGAATTATGAAAAGAAATTTGTTTGTAAGAGCAAGAACATTCAATCCTCTAGTTATTCATTAAATATCATTCATCTTCATGAAAAGAAACTAGATTAACTGTAGACATATACCTTAAATACATCCCTTTTGGTTCCATCAAGTGCAACATCAAGTTCGGTTCTATTAAACAACCAAGAAGAAAGTTTCAAGTTTTCCGCATTGTCAAGCAATGCTGTAATATCCATTTCTTGTAATTCTCGTGTGTTTGAAACTACTAACCAACCAGGTCTCACCTGCAAACAAAATTAAGAAATGAACTCTTCATTCAGAAATGAAATCAACTACGTTACCAAATTCCTCTCATGAAAAATTTGAATAAACGTAAAACACAAGGAACACATTTTGGCATAAAAAATCATGACAATTTGCAAGTATGAAAACAATAAACATTTACAATTTCAAGCCGTGTTGAAAAAAACAATGAACTCCTGTCACTGTGCATCTTTTAATCAAAATGTCCTTATGTCATGAAACAAACCAATAAACTGATCGATGCACAAAGAGTTAATCACTAACCTCACTACAACAAAATGATGCTATTGGCTCGTGTTCTCGCTGTACAATTTTGAATACATTTACGGTATCTCTATTTTCCAGTTCAGTTGCGCCTTCCCTAACCATACTTTCTTCCTGAAAATAAAAATTCAAAAATAGGAGAAATACAATCCTATGAAATAAAAAAATAAAATAGTTAATCAAAATCTGAAGGGAGTAAATAGTCGTAGAAATAACCTGCTGATCACCGAAGCCAAATATATGTTTGATGAAAAGGGGCAAAATATGATCCTGACGAACGAGATAAAGCCAAATTCTTTTCACAGGTAACACAGATGGATCCACACATTCGAAAGGTGTGTTATTTGTTTCTGTCAGAACACTGTATTTCTTCAAAAGTGGTTCTGAAAAATGTATGTTCATTGGTCATTTTATAAAGTGATTGGATATTTGTAAACAGAAAAGATATAAATGTTCACAGAAACAGTACAAAATTTTGAGAAAATTAAGAGCAAACGGAAGGAGACAGTAACTAAACAATGAATTCATTCCCTTAAGTTTTTAAATCAATATACAATCAACAAGCAATCCATGGATTTAATTGTTTTAGGTGTATTTTGAATAATTATACTAAAATTGTTCGATTAAAATCGTTAAATGTTGAGTACCTGCACCACCATCATCTTTTCTAATAGATAAATCGGGAAGCAAATCAGAAGGGCATCCATCAGGCATTGTATACAAGTGATCTTCAAGTTGTTTCGTCCAATTCTCGATAAGTTTAAAAACAGCATTTGCACGAGGTGATAAGGCTGGCAATTCTATAAGCTTTTTATTAAGATTGTTGAAACAAAGGCCTGATAAAAATTATTACAAATTAAAAAACTAAGTACCTGAATATTCCAGGCCTGCAAGCTGCAAAAAAGACTTCATTCGATATAACTGCTGATGGGTAAGAGCTAAACGTAAGAGCCACCAGGCGAATCCTTCTGAATCACTGTGCTGTTTTTTCTGCAGTTGTTCTTCTAATTCAATTACTGATTCGTGATGTTCTTCGTCCGAATCATAACATCCATCCAGGATTTCAGATAATTCTGGCTATAAGAAAGTAATTAATGCAGAAAGTTCCCTATGATAAATCCTAGATGATGCTCTGGAGTTCGATATAAATTAACGAATTTATAAAAGTTTCTGTAAAAAACCTAAAAAAAATTTTTTATTAGTATTATCTTGAGGTACCTTTTCAGCAAAAAACTGCACCATACTCTTCTTTGGTGGTATCCACTCATATGGCACTTGTTCTTTTAAAGATCGTGATTTATTTGCTGGAAAACCATCAGAAGATATGATGGTTGCTTCAACTCCAATTACCTCAAACAAGATTTTTTTTACTGATATATATATATATATATGCAGGATACATATAAGATAATGAAAATCACCTCAGTGTTCAAACTAGCTCGAAATGATGAACAGTCTATTGGGAGACAGTTTTTGCTAGACTCTGTGTGAGTTTCATTAGAAGGCAAACCACTCAACACTGTAGTCGTCCGCTTTACAAGTGGACCTAAATTAAATTGCATTATACAATCTACAGAAACATTCTTTCTCCTATGATGGCTGCTTTAACTCCAATTACCTAAAACAAGACTTTTTTTCATTGATATATGTATATATATATATATATCCTAAGTACAAAAAAAAAACAAAATTAACATACCAGGGGGCCTTGAAGGAGCTACCTTTTGCGTTTTCTTTCCACCTCCACCAAACAAAATAGCAAATTCTTTTGTGCCAATGTTACGAGCTGCTAATCGAAATAACCATCTCGCATCATAAGTTGCAAGTGCGTACGCGAAAAGAGATGCAAATACCTGAAAATATTTCGGATCAACATGGTACAAAGTTGCTGAAGTTTATCCGCGAATTAGATCAGCAAGAACGGACTAGCTTTTGATATGTTAAGGAATTCACAGATACATAATTTTGAGTAAGCCGTTCTTCTGAATTCGTAAAACCAAATAAATACAAAAATTATGTTCCGTATTATGAAAGCTTACTGCAATGTAAGTTTCAAGCATAAGAAGCCTGAGTTGCGGAGCTTCTTCATCTTTTTCTCGACTTAAAATGGCTAGTAGATTGTCCACTCCCGGCCATTTCGAAGGCGATGTCATCACTTGGCAATCGTTGTTCGCTGTTGCTACTCTTGATAACCTTGCCAAAGCTCTAAAGAACTTATGCAGATAGAAAATCGTTATTTTTCTACAGTGTTTTCTGCAATACATTTTTATTCTTCAAAATAATTCACTCATCGAGATTTAGAAATGATCTCTGCCAACCGCTTTACTTTCTATTTTGCTATTAAAATACTGACTATAAATACATTTTGATCATACCCGTGACTGCTTCCGTAAATATTACTGACACTACAAAGTGACTGGTATACGCATGAAGATAATCCTTGACACAAGCTATACACTTTATAGACCTGAAAATGACTTATCCACAAAAATCCAAAAACAAATGTTGACATTTTAGACAAAAGTTGAAAACAAAGATAAGTATTAAAAGTGAATATAACGAATAAAAAAGCCATTTCTTATAGAAGAAAAGATTTTTTTTTCGTTTATAAACCCTAAAAAATTTTACATAGAAATTTCTAGTTGAAAATGCCACTTTTCTATTATAGAGGGTCAGCAAATATTCGAATTTCAATCCCGATTTTGCGTGAAAATCTGAAACACTAACTTTGGTCAGAGAACTTTCGATCTGCGGAGGTTCGGAAAGATCTACCAATGACAACAAAATATCGGAACACAGACTTTTCACAAAACTGAGCGGTGATGATACAAACATTCTGTGTGGTGAAACTGATGCAATAAAAAGGGGAAATGAATGCACAACTGGTAAAGATTCTGAAAAACACTACCACATAATTCTTTTACCAACATTTAGATTAAAGAATTGAATGCAGTAGATTAAAGAAATCTTCTATGAAAAATTGTTTTGTTTGACTCAATTGATAAAGTCAAAATTGTGTGAACTGCACAGAAAAGGATGTGCAAGAGAATAATTTGAAGGAGACAGCAGCCACAAAAAAGCAATTATATGAGCAAATATGAATCATTTAGTTCTTTTTTTTAACTGAAATAATACGAAAACTGCAGGTGCACCAGAAATAATCATTATATTTTATTTAACGAAAAATTTACCACCAGTGAAGAGCTTTGACGATCTGCTATCTTGCTGCACTTCCATTTGTAATAAAAGAAGTTCCATGAGTGCAGCAGTTAAGCGATGGCTTTGAGAGTTATGCAGAGTGCAGTACGATATAAAAGCACGCAATAACTTCTGATTTGTACGTAACCATCGTCGATGATGCAATACGTAATGGGATCCAGTCTCTGCTCTATTTATATGAATAGTCTTGTGATCGCTACTAAATTTTTTTTTCAAAAACATACACTTCTCTTAAAAAACTGACTTGATAGTTCAAAATAAAGAAAGCAATAGGAATAATTTATAGGAAATAGGTAAGAAACATTTCGCTTTAAGTAAGCTTTAAGCATGGTCTCAAGCAGCGATATCGGCAACGTATAGTACGTAAAGACACAAACAGGATAGGGAAATGATCGTATTGGAATATTAACTATCTATGGAGAAAAACAAAATTCCAAACATTACATTATATCATCATTGAATTCGTCTTCATTTTCAGTAATATCAACGAGTTTCAAATTACTATAATCACTACGATGATTACCACATATCTTCTGCAGCACACTTGCGCCTGCCTCTAGCCAATTAAGTAACTAAAAAATTGAGTAAAACATCACAAAGCCAAATAACTTTTTATACAACTGCAAGGCAGGAAATATGAAATAGGAAAATGAACCTTTAACAGAAACTTACTTGAAGCCTCAACTGTCCGCCATCTACTTCGAAAGCACTTGCAAGAGTAGATAACTCTTCAACTAGAAGCCGTAATGTCGCAGTGAACTTCATATGTTGCGCAATGACATCTAGTGTCGCATTATTCTCATCTGTCTAAAGTGGACTAAAATGATGTAATTAATAGTGTATAGTACTAAAATGAGAGCTGGAACAAAGAGTCACATTTCTAACTTTGAAGACTAAGAAAACAATACAATGTTTTGCATAACGCACTCTATTAGAATAGTGTGAAATAACTTCTGCAATGCTTTCCTTCTGTACCACAAGTTCATCTATTTCCGAGCCATTCAATTGCAAATTTAGTTCTCCATGCACATGAGCAGATGATGTTAATACATTCCAGTCGATGGCATTTGATCGATTATTCCACGGATCATCATTTTTTGGCAACTCCGATCTCTAGAAGATTTTCAGTTTTAGCAGCAAGACAAAAAACGATAAAGCATTTCATCAGCACTTACCGAATTTGCAAATATAGCAATAAGGAAAGAAGGCGTTATCGACTTAGTGAACCAATTTTAATATTTGCATACCAGAAGTTTGAATATTTAAGTTCTTTGCAAGTTAAAATTTCAAAAAAGTATCATGTCCTTAAGTACAACAATTTTGCTACATTTTTATTTTGTAAAAATTTCAGCTAATTTTAACTATTTTCAAATAAAGTAATGAATGTCAAACTCTTACAGTGTGTTTATTCATCTCGGGCGACAGAGATGACGATTTCATTACAGTGAGATTTTTTGGTAAGCGCTCCAATACATCAAGTGCAAGTAAGGGACAACCTGATGCCATATGAGCACTTGCAGTTCGAAAATACAATCTTCGTTCAGACGGTGTGATGACTGATGCAAGTTGTTTTGCAACTGTCAAAAATTTTTCAGTTGATCCTACCTGTAAGAAACGATGATTTGTAAGAATGAAGAAAAGCGGTTTCTTTTCAGTTCATTCATAACAGAATCAATAAAACCAATAAAAACCAATTCTTTCACACCTGAATTCCAGCATTTAGAAGTCTCTGTCGAATAACTAGATGATGAATGCGTATAAATGAGTAGAAGTTAAATATATCTGACAAGGAATACTCCATTGAAGCATCCAAATGAACACGACCTGCTTCATCAACTAACGTGTTTGCTGCTCGAACATATTCCTTCATATGCCAATAAGCCATCGAACGTACAAAAGGATTTCTAGCAAAACCACATTATTAAACGGTCAGTTATATGTTTTAGCTGAACAAAAAAAATTTGTGAAATCAGCGTAATTATATACACAAACCAACGCAAACACACCGATTTGCTCTAGACGTGACATCAAAGTCTTTTACATCCGCAACTTCAGCACCGAAAATTTCTCTACAGAGCAATTCCCTGAGTAAATTACCCTGCTCTTCGTAATCTCTTTCATAAAGGCGAACTATTATTATTGCAAGTTGCAAATCTTGTAGTTTCCTCAATACCATCTGCAAAAGGGAAAAAAATAGCAAAATAACGAGGAAGAAACAGAAAAATGTCAAAAATTAAAAAGTCAGGCCTGTATAGCGTCTTTAATCGATCCAGCCAATAAGAAAAATGCAGCGGCATGCTGAAAGCGTTGCTTGCCCATTAGCACAAAGGCATTCTTTAGAGCTGCCTTCTTCCATTTTTCTTCGTTGAAATCATGCATGAAGAAATCCAACATTCTATTGTCCTTAACGCTCTATAAAACAGGATTGCATACGGAGATTCTCAGAATAAGATTCATGCTTACCAAGACGGTAGCAGAAAAACAACTTACCTTGAACAAATGAGTTAATAGATTCTTCTTCTTTAACAGGAGATAATAAAGAGATGCATCCAGCGGATCTTGATTTTTTTGGAAAGCAGCTTTTGCCAGCTGTAATTTTGAAAATGAAAAAAAGCACAATACAATATTCCTATTCACTACATATTGGCAAAAAAATGACAACCAACTTTCTCAATGATGGCACGTAGTGACGAGGTATTTTTTAGCCACCAAGCAATTCCTAAAGATCGCAATTCTTCCCATGACAAAGTGGGTTTCTGTAGACATGGAATTGCATTCAGCAATTCAGTTTCTGTTTCAGAATGCAAAGCCCAAATAATCTGTGACGGTGAAAGTCCTCTGAAATAATAAAGTCACCAGAAATCAACCAAAATATTTAGAAAAAAAAGCTGTAACAAAAATTAGAATTAATCATTTTTGATGAATCAAACCATATAAAATGGAGTTGCATTCAACTCACAAACCTTGAACGAAGACTATGCTTTTGCTGTAACGGTAGACACAATAACAAATACTCATGCTGTTTCATAGCCATCAAATATCTCAATCCACACTCGTCAACAGTTTCAAATCCAACAGTAGGTGTAGCATATCCACCTGCTGCATCGCTCACGATCTGCGGTTGAGTTGCTTGAAAAGCTGAAAATATAAATACATATTTTGCAACGAATTTTTTTTGCAAAATCGAAATCTTTAACGTAGAACACGAGTATTTCATGCCTGCATTTGCCTGCGTCAGTTTATCCATGATATCCGATGAGAAATGGCTTAATGTATCCGCAACTGCCAGAAGGTGCATTTGGTCAACACTTGACAAACCTGGAATTTTTTATTTTTTAAAATCTGGTTATCAAAAGTATATGTGTAAATAAGTGCCAATAAAATCAAACGTTACCTGGTAAATGAGTATGAGTGAGAAATTCTGTCAGTAAACGATTATGCCTTGCAGTAAAACTTGTTGATACAAAAACTGTATGTACATTATCCATAGAAAACGAATTTTGACGTGATTTTCTCGGCTCATTGTCCACATCTAGTGAAGCATCTAGACTGTCATCCTCAAAAAGTTTATCAAAAATGAAATGCATTTGCTCTGAAAATTTATTTAAGCAATATTTGTACCATGAGAATTTAGAACCTATACTAACTATACAGCAACTACAAAAAATATGACAGTTACAAATTACTTGTGATATTTCAGATGCTTTCTCTTTAGCTACTGAAAACGGATCACCAGCAGAAATTAGAATATGGAGCGGCAATGGTGGAATGCCGTCAAGCTCATCATATTCCAAGTTTGAATCATCAAAGGTATCAGAAAGTCCTCGGGTAGCGTCTTGTCCTAGATCTTCCATTTTCAAGTCTCCACTGGTAAGTGACATTTTACGCATTGAAGAAGCACGTGACAACGGATTTGGTATTGAAACATTCAGCTGCTGTAAATCAAAACATAAACTGTTGTTGTTCTGTTGTAATACGACTTAAGGAAGCGTGTGTATTTTATATATAAAATTCAAGCATTAACCTTTAAGCTTTTCAAAACATGTAGTAATATTGCTTTGACCACACGTGTCCTACCAGAATTAAGTAATTCGATAAGCAACTTTGGGTGATACTGCGGCAAAATGGGACTTGCCAAACGCGCAGCTTCGAATAAACCTTCTTCACTGATGGCTTCAAGTACATGCTCGTCTTTCAAAAGTAATGTTTGCAAATCATAAGGTGCCGAATACATCCTTCAAATTGAAAAATAATTAAGTCACCGAAGTAATTTCGGAAAGAATGAAACCGACAAAATCATGAGAATAGAAAACCTTTGTAGCAGATCTTTGTATAGTTTTTGCTTGTTCAAAGGGACAGGCTCTTGCTTAAATTTCTTTGATAACTGATCCAAGCTAGAATATGAAGAGATACCCAAACCAGCAAGCGCAAGATGACTAGACGATTTAAGTCTGAAAACGTTATATTCAGTCAGAAGAGAAAGTACAGCCGAATAGATTTGTATTTATTAAGTTTTGGAAGATTTGAAAAACTTACCTTGAAAGATCTTTAGTGACTTCCGCCAATTTTTTCTTCGGGAACTCTGCTTTGAAATTCCATTGACTGTAACAACGCATTTCACTCTGCATACCGATAATCAATAAACCGTCACGAACCCAACCCAATGTTGTTGGCAGCGGTGGTAAACTATCAGCTGATTTCAGCTCTAAAAATCGTATGCAAAGCCATCGCACCTGAAAATCAAATCAATATCATTGAGTAAAAATTGTTGATGAATTAGATTTTTGCATCAGATTTTTCCAAATATGTTCAACATCTTATAGTTTGCAGAAAATAACCTACAAAATATAGAGTCGTCTCAGATTCACTGTTACTCAGATGCAAACAATTGTTCCATGGAAAGTGACTACGTGCTTTAATTAACAAGGAAAGCAACAAAATATTTTTCAATTCAACCAAATAAAAATTCTAAACATTTGGTATCTTTCCATTTTGGTCTTTTACTAGTAATATGTTGCTTTAAAGATAAGGAAAACGTTTCTTATCAATTTAATCCATAAAACTGAATATTGCTTTTCACTGTTACAAAATAAAAAGTTTTCAAAATTTGAAAATCGAAGTGATTATTCAATATAACACCAACAAGCTAAGAACGAAAAGATTTGACAATTAAATACACGATAATTTTATAATCAAAGGTTAAACTTAGTTTTCTCAAGAAATCTTATAAGCAAAAACAATTATAGAAATTACATCCAGTTTCTCTTCAAAAGAAGGCTTGCAAAACTAACAAAACTAACCAAACGAGTTGATATGGTTTCCGGATTTGCAAGTGAAGAAGCCTTTCTCAGAGGACCTCGACGATATGTGTCATGTTCTTTCATCATTACAATATTTCTTTGTGCAGCACCTTGAGATACTTGAGTATATAAAAAGATGTATGTACCCAATGCTACTGTAAGAATATGTGAACCATCTTCAGCAGAAACCCATTTTAGACATACATTATTGATTGGCATGCCTGTACAAAATTCTGAAAGCGTAAATAAAATGATATGATCCAGTAGCATCTTTTTCTGCCTACTTCACCATCATGAAATTTGCAGTTATCCTTTTCTCAATAATTTTTAAAAAACGATAGAGCCCATATACTACGTGGATCTTAATTTTACTTCTAATCAGTTACAGTGTTTATAATTGGAGCAAATATAATCGTGAAGAGACCTGAAACAGCTGTATCTGATCTTCCGAGGTAATTTTCGGCTCCTTCCTTCCTAAAAATTGCACTAATTCACTTGGATTTTACATGACATTCAGCAACAAAGTCCATCAAAAACAGAAAAAAATTGTATCTTATTACATTACAATTTCTTTTTACCATACAAATAAAATATTCAGTGTTATTGTAGATTCTAATTTGCATTTTCCTCTGTTCAAATTAGAGATAAGGGACAAATTAATAACGTTCAAAGGAATTATAAAAAAATACATCCTGTGTCGAAGATTGACAATGATTGTATCTTCACAAAGCCATTCAACGCCACCTGACGATTCACATTCAAATACGCCAACTTTGATGCTACTTATCGATGAAGTTGCATTAGTCATACCTTCGGGAAAGTATGCACAAGCAAATCGATTACTGTGAGCCGCTGATATAGAATATATTTGACCTGAAACATCTATTCTCGTCAGAAAGTATACTTTTAATGATTTAATTCACTCACAAAAACTAAAAAGACATTGTGTTATAATAATAAACAACCTTTACCATCCATCTCTATATTCGAATCCATGGTACTGCTAATCATTCCCCATGTCTTCCATTTGTAACTAATTGACCCACCACTTTCAATAATTCTTATACATTCATAAAATCGGACATTTTCGTCGCTGCATGCCAAAAGAACATGATAAGGTGCCCTACATGTGGGATAAAGATTTGACGACGGCAGATGACCTGCTGCTGGCTCCACCAAAACCACCTTAAGCAAATATATATATACCAACATATATAACCAGCAATGCTAATGGTCTCATATACATTTTTCACTATATTTGTCGGAAAACGAAATAATTTAATAATATGTTAAAATAATTATAGCAAATTTGTATTGTAGCAATCTGTACTATAAAAATTGCTAATCAACGGCTTAAACTTCTCAAAATGTTAAGCTGACCCTTTGTTTACTTAGCTCTTTGTGTCCAAAAATACTATAAATCGTGCGCCTCGATCCGATTCGAGCAATACTAGTATTAGTATTAGTTTTCATCAGTAACAGTACTACGAGCTGTATTTTAGTTTTCATCAGTAACAGTATTATGTGCTGGACTGTATTAGTATTCGATCAGGATCACAATTTGTACCACTATTAATACTACAAAATGAGTACTAAAGACTAGCAATGATTTTACCATATTTTCTGGTAACTGTATTAAAACATTCGTACAATAATAAGCTCTGTCAACCAATAAAATTTTTATCATAACTATTCGTCTCTACCAACAATAACAAAATAACCCTCATAATATTTTCATTATACCTTTTTTTGTTCCATTATGTTGTAAATTTTATGTTTCACCTCATGATTTCAAACCCAGAAATTAGCTTTTATAATCCACTTCAACCTAGCAATACATCAGTAACACACAGTTCAGTCTAAATGCCACAATGATAGCATGAACTACCCATTAACTGTTAGTTGAATGTCGTACTTTCTATTATTTTTTAAACTAAATCTAGACTTAGATTGGTATTGAATTCGACAGTTTGGTTTTCCCTCCCAACACAGCAACATGAAAGAATAAGTGAAAAATAAGGAGAGCTTACGGAAACACCATCCGGTAGTATAACATGATCATCGTAAATTAGATTAGTACTGAGTTGCAATTTGCTCAAGGAATTCTCATTTACAGTCACATTGACTGAATCCGACGAATATTTTGCAGGCAAGGCATCTTCAATCTCTCCTATAATCCAGAAATGATTCTTACAGAAAAGGATTTATGAAAAAGGATTAGTTCCAGTATGAATTATTTCCTCGTCCAGATAAATCATTACTCAGAAGCAAAATGTACCTTCAAAATCCGTTATCCCAATGTTAATCAACCACATACGTAATCTGAAATTGTTACATATGTTTAGAACAGGTAGAATTATTTGCATGAATACAATGTGGCAAAAAATTTCAGAAACAAACCTTGTAAGAAAATCCTTCTCTTTCTCAAATAATACCAAATAATAACGACTGACATTTGTTCCTTCAGTTGCTAAATTTTGCGAAGTGTCTGTGGTACCAGAAAAACCATCTTTGGAAATTAGTAAACGTTCATTGAAAGCATGAATAAGCAAAACATTATCTGCACACTGCAACAAAAAGTGTGGGGAATTGCAAAATACAACAGTTTAATGGACGTAGATCTACAAAACGAAGAACGAATTTTGAATGAATGAAATATTTCCAGCTAAGTACAATATTCTGAGAAAAAGATACCGAAGCAGCATTAATACTCGACAATAAAAGTATGCAGCCAGGCTTTGTCGATGACTGCGTTGAAACAACTTTAAACATTTTCTTCATATTTTGTTTATTTTGGATATCATAACTTTTCGTCATATTTTGCTTATTTCGGATATCATAAGCCTTCCCACTATTAGTCGAACAACTGAAAAATGTCTGGTGACTTCAATCATATTATAATTCACCCCAATTATGCAATTTCGTGATTTATTTTTTTCTAAGATTTGTCCAGCAGAATGTAGCGGATTTTGTGTAAGATCATGCCACGTATTCACCTTAATTATTGACAATGATCACAACATACTCCGCGAACAATATGATGCATTTGCCTAATCCCAATTTATAACATCAATTTTTTTGAAGAATAAGTGTATGATGCAAGCAAAAAAATGTCACCGCTAGTAACCTCTTTCCGTCAACTTTTTTTAAAACAACTGTTATTCACTTTCAACGAACCAAGAACCATGTGACTTAATTTTAAAGCTTCCCTGTTTCTTATCAATTTCCAATCAAACACTAATGAAACTTTTAAACTAATGATATTTTTGTCATGGAAATTCAAAATCTACTGAAATGAAACGTTGCGACTTTCCGCACATTACATAAAGTATTTTTTTTAGGTAAATGAAAACACAAAAAGAGAAAACGTGAGCAACAAAATATGCATACTATCCAAATCACGAGGATATTAAAAACATGAAAAGGAACCTGCTTTCAGAAGGGGAGACGTTTTTTCTTCCAGAAGCATGTATATCTGCGAGAAATTCCGCCGCATCAACGATGGCTTGGTAAATGTTGATATGTCCAGAACTATTAGCCACAAAGGAGGAGCTCGGTGAAGTCGACAGCGATCCCAACAATGAACTGCATATATATATATATATATATATATAAACTATTGCACTGCTGTAATTCAACGGAGAAAAAATGAAAATTTAAGAAAATCGCAACCTGCACCACCAAATTATAGCAACGTTTTCAACGTTCAGGTGATTACAGTATAATCAAAAAACTTAGCTACCTTGACAAAATCAATGGCAACCAAGTAACGGCTGTAAATGCATCAGATGAATTGCTTGTCATTCGCGCCAGTTCTCGAATGCCACCGCATTTACAGAGCGGTCCAACAGGATTTACCTTCCATAAAATTAATTCAGCCTTTCCCGTCTCTTCAGTATTCTGCGTTATGTAATTGTAGTGGCTCGTTGTAAGCACAAGAGGAAGCACCGGATGAGCAATGACCTAGACAGCAGACTAAGTACGGAATTGGGGAGAAAATATGCAAGATTCTACTACATAACTACTAAAATTGTTTGGCATTTCATGTAGTGTTTTCGGTGTTACATAGGTGCACCATACCAAGAAGCAGAGCCATGCCATGACTGCTTCTCTGGCTTGCATATTCTCCATTTCAGGCTACCACACTTCATAGCACATAAGATATTCCAGGAGGCCAATCTCGACTGTACCTCTTCTGCTGGATAAATAAGCAAAGAATGATCATCACTACCTGGGCGATCGACGCAGCTAGGAATGAGTCCCATCAACCGAATAATTGGAATTAACCTACCCGAAAGAAAACACTATGCACACTGGAATCTCAGTTATGTGAAAACCTTTAACAATACTTTAAATACTATGATATGAACCTGTGAAATTTTGTAACGATGACCACACATCCTTGAAGCATGCGATATATTAACCACTGTATTAAATTTTTCATTGTCTTCAAACGTCAAATTCCATAAATTCAAAGATCCGTTGTTATGATGAGTTAGCAAATAAAGCAAATTTGTATTTCTCCGTTCAAATATTTGGGAAATCCCTTAAAAATTGAATAAGGTTAACATAAAGTAAGCAAATACAAATAATATGAATATAATATTTCCACAGACAAAAGAAATTTAACTAGCAAAAAGCTTACCGCCAGAAGCATACTTCTCGGTAAATTGTTCATGAAGAAAATTCTGAGGATAGTATACTCTCAGTGAAGGATTTAATGACATTGCATCTGAAAGCGAAAATGCAGATGGAAATCGCGAAGTGAAACTAACAGTGGGTTGTCGCAACGGATCATCAAGCCATTCGACTGTCCTGCAAAATGAAGTATTTTATTCAATTCACCAAAAGGGATCTTCATTTTTTCGTCAAAACATCAAGAGAACTGTTAAAATGGGCCAACAAAGGGGCAAGAGAATATGGAACCTAATTCACAACATGGATAAAATATTTATAATTTGAATAAGTCTTACATCAAATGATCTTATATCAAATGAGAGAGTAACAATATTCTTACCAGGTTAGTAAGCTACCGTCAGCAGGATGTACAGCAAATAAAATGTCGGTGGATTTCTTCCATTCTCGTATGAGGATATTTAGCTTTAAATCCATAGAATCTTTCAACGATGTTGTCTCCTAAATTTAAAAGCTAAATACTCTAATTATTTTTGATTTTTGTAAATCGGGGAATATTAAAATATAAATATCTACACACATTGGAAAAAACTCTGGTTGCACCATTGACAGGACTGGCAAGTGTGTCATCTAAGACCTCATTTTGTTGCATTGGACCAGCTGATGCCACCTTGGTATCATCAATATTATGTCCTTTGTTACTATGCAAAGATTCAGTCAGCAAATTTTGCGACTGCAGCACACTTTCTAAAAAGCAAAATTTTACTGTCATGCACATAAGAGGTCTTAATCAAATAAGGAGTTAAGGCAATACTTCTGACTGAATTTTCAATTTCACTCGGTTCTGCAGAACAATCACTGCTCAGCGCTTCCACCATAATTCTTTCAACACCAGTATCATAAACAATCGCTTTATTGTTTAACCAGTGAATCATGAAAGGTCTTTGATCTGCAGATGTTTCCAAGGATGGAACCAAAAGACAATCTGCAATACGTAATAATCCAAAAATGAAGCAGTTCTCCCAAGAATTTCATACTATAATCCCACCATGTTAGAAAATAGTTGGAAACAAAAACACACCATTCTGAGCATTTATAGTAGTGCATAGATAAAATGCAGGACCAGAATCAGTGTGTTTCCCTGAAGCAATTTCATACAGTGAAGTATTTCTGGAAACAGATGATCTTGTTGGTGGCATTATTTCACCTGCAAGTGCCTTTCTCTCCCTAAAAACAGTGAATTTAAAAATTTGATATTCAGAATTCCATGTTCTTCAAATCCACTATTTCATGTGTAACCTTCAAATTGGCAGATCCCAGAAAGCCCCATCAGTGCTTGCAAATTAGAGGAATCCAGATCATATCCATCAACTCACACAATTTTTTTAAGAAATGATCTGATCTTTTCTCGAGTAGCCCGAAGTGAAGGTTTTTTAGAACAACATTCTGTTGCGGGATTTTTGTCGAGAGATATCATCTCAACATTGCTAATCACAGTTTGGAAGTCCAGCGATACAGTAGCAGCTTCTTTCCAAATCCGAACTGTTTTGTCTTCACACCAGGTGAGCAAAGCATTCTGAACATACTGCCTGGAATGGTTATTTGAACTTTACGATCCCATTTTATTAGAGTGAAGATTAAAAATTTGAAAAGAAATAAAAATCAACTAGAGAGTAATAAATAACCGTGACATATAACGAGGAACTTTTCGCCATTCAAAACCAGCAACTGGCTGGGGGTGTTGCACATAACTAAAACCAAATGAAACGCCATTTCCTCTGTTCCCTGCACTACCACTAGATTCTGAAAAATCTTTTTACAAAGGAAAATTTTTCCGAAATATAAATTACTAATCACTTCCGCTTTTTAATAGTTTACAAAATAATAATATAATCATATTCAATTTTGCAGCACAAATAATTCACGAATAGAAAATCTTGTAAATTTTAAATTGATAAAAATTAATAAAGCGGCTCTGAGATCCACCAAGCTTATTAGATTATAACAATTTCCATCTATGTTTCCTTAGAATTCAATTGTTGTGAATTCTGCAGTAAAAACACCATAGAACAGAAGAGTAGTAATTGAAACATAAAGAACCACGGATTGATCATTACCTACCTTCTCTCTGAAACCATATTTTTACCAAACAATCTGAAATACCACAAGTAGCAAAATACGCTCCATCGGGCGAACTAGCCACAAATCTTGGTTTAGCTGCTAATTTCTGCGACCAAACACAGTCCCAAAACGAAACTGCCTCATTTTCAGATTCATTTTCCTGAAGATATTATTTGACAAATATGTGTACAGTTTTCATAGACTAAGCTTAAAATAGCAATGAATAACCTCTTCAATTATTCCGAATGTTACGGTATCCAGTTTAATATCTAGAGCAGCAGAAAGAAGCAAATTCTGATAAAGGTGAAGCGCATCACCGCCACAAATCAAAAGTCGCAAGCCTTGCAAACTCCAATGTATTTTATCCACTGTGTACTTCAGAAGAAGGCTATAGGTTTCAACCCAATGGTATGTGAAACCCTAAAAACGCTTTCAAATTCATATTGAAAGGTAAAAGTTCAGAAGTTAACAGAGGTTCAAAAGAAATAACATAGAAGAAAAAAATGAGCTGAATAACTTAAAGCCGAAATATAATAATGAAATTTACGTTAGTTCCATCTTCGGTTCGCGTAATGGGCTCATAAATGCGCACTACGCCACTGTATGTTGCTACAATCTACAATTCAACCACATCATTACATATAATACTGATGAACAAAGTGAATGCAACACTCACTAGGCAGCTGATTATAGGGTCAACTAATTGACTTTTTTATCCAAATCGGACAATCTACAGAAGTGCAACACAACCTTTGCGTGGTAAAACTATAAAATCATATCTCGATAACTCAGATTAAAATGTTTATACTTGAACAATGCTTGTTTAAAACTTTGGGCCAAGCAACCAGAAAAAAAAAGTGAATAAAAACCTTTCCAGTTTCACAGCAAGCAGCTACACAATTCACTAGTAATCCCTCAGCACAGCTTGGAGGTGTAATAACTTGCACACGCTCGAAGGAGGACGAAAATATCACGACATTCGTACCAACTGCGCAAGCCTGTTTGATGGACAAGATATTAAGATATCAAAACACAGCAAATCAAGTAAATAAGTATTTATGCTTGATTTGCAGTAAAAATGCATATAGAACCTGACAAACCGTAAAACTAAGATCATCGATCGTTCCAACACTGAAAACTTCATCACCACGGTTAAGAGCCCCAGTCAAAATCTGATGCACATTCATTCAAATCAGCATAATCACCCTGGAAATAAGAATAAAATAAACCACAGCAACTTGACTTAATAAAAGCAAAACTTCTCCAAAAATGCGTACAAACTGAAGCACTGAAACAAGACTTATTAATTCTATTAGTGGCTTCCAAAACAAGCAAATCGAGTAAACAAGTATTTATGTTTGATTTACCGTAAAATACATAAACAGCTACAGGAAGATTTGAAATATATAAAACTGAAGTAAAAAATGGAATACAAAAATTGAAATAATGGTTCTGAAAAATCTCCGCCAATCTAATGTGTTGTTTTTGTAACTGGTTCATCAATATTAATGCTTTCAAATTTCAGCACGAAGTACTTCGACCGCTTGCTACTGACATACAAGAGAACTAACGGCTCACAATTATAATGTTACACCGGAAAAATGCTTACGTTTTTTGTTGACAGGTAACAAAGCGAATAATATCAAAAGTTGAGTACGGTAATTCTCAACAAACTGCAAAGACAAACTGCAAAAAATCAAAATACGATTGAAAATGAACGGTTGTCTGGATTTGTTTTTAAAAGTCTTGGAAATTTCTGGATGGATCTAACTACTTGCAGTGTTCAACAATCCGTCGCTTACACCTTTACCTCCATTTCATTTTAATTCCCCAAACAAAAGGGATATTTTGAATCCTTCCGTTCTTTTTTTACTTCATGTCCGCCTGACCTTTTCCTTTTTCCCTTACTTTGCACGCTCAGCACTTCTCATCTCTACCAAACGATAAAAATCACTACCAACAAGACTAATTCATCCAACGGTTAACAATGTTGGTGACAACAAATTTTAACGCATGCAGTTTGATGGTATTGTTTTCACGGAATGTAGCACTGCGAGGCCCATATTTGACGAGGACATTCTGAACCTGGCGCAGTGGAACAAGTTGGCTTGAAGAATGCTGGGGAGCTGTGGAGGACAAATGTTGAATAAATGAAGGACAGGGAAATATATTTAACGTGTTGACAGCAGAGACATCTGTAGCGAGGACAAAAAGTATAAGGACAACAAAGGTAGTAGGTCATCTATTGACCGGATAGTGTTAAAGAAGTGACTGGAAACATAAAAGGTGGTTTTACCATCCATATTTTGTTGTCCAGTATTTTACAACACAACATTTTTCACTGCATTTGCTTCATTGCATGAGATATTTTTCAAAAAAATTAGGCATTTTTATGTAAGATCAAAATGAGACATTGATGGTATCATTTAAAAGTTCCGCCACCATCGAGATCGTCAATTATCAGATGAATAGTAATAAATGTTCAAGCTTATTTATACATACCACTCAGCATGCCGATTTCCTACTTTTTGCTTGGCAGAGGAAAGATACTGTACTGAATAAAGGGCAAAAGAAGTGTCTCTTTCCCATGCTTCCCGCCATATCTCTTACGCATGTCTATTCTTTATTCTTCCATCCCTATCCTTTACTTCCTTTCAAATCTATTTATAATGATTCTCCAGTCGAGATGGATCACTTTTTATTCTATTACTTTTAACTGCTTCTCCCATTTCTGACGGTCGTAAGATAATGCCTATGAAATGATCTTTGTTTTTAGTACCGATACAGAACAACAAAGATTAAAATAATTTAGAGTTTGATTGCAACTCCGTGCAATGAAGGCGATGTAAAGAACACTTTAGGTGACCTACTAGAATGGCTTCTTGATGCTTCACCTCTATGAAGTGATCAGAATCTTGTGTATTTTAATTCCTGTATCTTTCAAGATATTTGTGCTTCCCTTCATAATGGACAATAACGATGCAAAACAATAATGTAATCGAGATGTTATACTACTATATTGCTCTTATTCTGGAATATAATTATTCATTTACATGCAGCAAATTCCCGTGGCATATAATTTCAAACTTCCAACATAATTTTTGTATAGGACAAGCTATGGTCAAATTCTCAATGTTTAACCATTCGTGCCCTATACAAAAAATTCTTTCATTGTGCACAATAGTGTTTTTTGAGTTTGAACGAAACAGTAAATTTCAGTGATAATGAACGAAAGGGGACGAAGAAAGCGATCTTATAATGAAGGTGAATCTAGAAGCCTGAAACGAGAAATCCGAGCAAGAAAAATACCGATATCCTCCTCGAGAAGCAGGTAAGCATTTTACTTCATTGCCAGACATTCTCTCCTGAGAGTTTTTGATAAAAGAAAGAAATATGCTGCAATTTGTAATTTGTTCAGTTCATATGCTTTGAAGAACGAGCACGATTATAGTTTTAAAATACAATTATAACTGAAGTAATATTACATATGTAAAAAAGTTCTATAAAATAAGTGACTGTACTACGATAAGTCCACAGATAAACTGTTGTTGTGTAAAAAATCCATATTTGAAGCTGTTAGTCATCCCATCGTCATTCTTTTAACAATCTTCTTTGATTATTTTACAGTAAAAGGCTCAATTATGTTTACAAATTCTCGCTGAACTCCAAATCACTGACGTTTACTGCATAGAAATAAATACCGAGAATTCAACGTACAGAATATCTCAAGTCGAAATATTTCTTGATTGTGCTTTGTGAGATTTTTGTTTCATTGTATGTGTGCTGTGAATTTTTTCCACTTTTTTGCTAGTAATATTAACAGATAGAAATTGTACTCCACAGACAATATAACAGTGCTCGGAAAGTAGGATATTAAGTAACTTGAACTTCTTAGTGTGGAAAGACATTTTTTGCACTTGGAACGTGAATCACAGCGTCAAAAACGTGAAGTGAGGCTTGGTTCTTTCAACTGTCTACTTCTCACTACTAGACATTGCTGAAACTCAGCAATACAAATGTCTCACTTAGCTATATACCGCTTGCAAAATTCGTTGCTACTCTGAATTTTCGTCTTTTTAGCGGCGTAAGTTTTAGTTACCGATCGTCCATTTTAGCAACTAGCACGTCACGTCTGACGCAGGAAAACAGTCCTAGAACATTACGAGATAAGTGGGGAATCTGAGCTCGCAGTTTTAACGTTGCTATGGTTGTTCGTTGTCTCAACACACCTATTTTTCACTCCCTTATGATGGCCGCTTTTGAAATATCCAAATATGTGCTGCTTTGATTGCATCAATGTGAAATTTGTTGTACCGGCGCTTTTTTGGAGGACATTTTACAGCAATTTTATGTGGATGTTGCATGCTTATTCACAGAAATTAGAGAAGTTCCAGGTTAGTTGGAAAAAATTAAGAAGTGTTAAGAGATCATAATAAAGGATTGGCAATTACTTTTTCTCTTTTGTTATAACAGGTGACTGAAGTGTTATGAAGCTTCATTCACGTACAATATAAATTAATCAGTGAAACATTTTACTGTCAAGAGTGAGATGTTTTCTATCGTCGACTTCCAAGTTTACGGCTTTTATTCAAGTATCGTTTTTAGCATAACTTAGCTTATTTGCAATAATCGTATTTTATTGGAAACATGATCAGCAATCATCTTAACAGTTATGTCTGAGGGCTATGTCTGGCTGAGTGTTCTGCATTAAATCGTTCAGTAAAAACAAATTGTATGGAAGTTTGCTCAAACTTTTATGAGAGCACATCAAGCGTGCAATAAATAAAGGAGATTGGAGACAGTAATGTGTGAAGTTGATATAAATGTGGTACTTCATTAATGTTCTGTTCATTTTTGCTCGCTCTATCAGCTTGATCATTAGTCGTAAGAATAATCTGTATCCACTCTGTAATGAGCACGTGAGTATTTTGAGAATCGTTTGTTATTTCTGTACTATTCGTGTTATTCTTGTAAAATTCGAGATACACTGAAGCTGCATGTGTTTATGTGCGTTATTAGCGGAATTATGTTACAGATTATTTTTTTACCTCCCTTTAGTTGTCACTCTTTCCGTTTCGCAGTTTATTAACATGGCTTCATTCGGTATCCATTTTAGCTTGATTTTTGGATGGATCCTTTAGTACATTCCAATCAGAACTTTATATACCGGTCGTTTCAGGATCAAATCTCCAGATGATCAGAATCACTTTTGAACACGCGCGTCATTGATTTGGACTGCTATTTGAGAAGGTTTCAAGTTATTAATAAATTTTATCTATTTATTTTCAGAAGGAGGGTTTTTAGAATGACGGCTTCAGGTGGAGGTGCGTCATCAACAAGTGGTGATACTTTCGATCGACCTATGCTAAAGGAAGTTGATCAATGGATCGAGCAGCTGTACGAGTGTAAACAGCTCACTGAAGCTCAAGTTAAAACGTTATGTGATAAGGTAAGCGGCAAATAGTCAAAATCCGGAGTGGAAAAAATTAAGGAAATGGTTAAATGACAAGTACTGAGTAACATCAAAAAGCTTCGGCTGTGCTGTAGGCGGCTTAGTCGGACTTTGAACTGCATCTTTTCTGAAAATCACTTATCATGCGATCAAAGATTTGATTAATGGAGTGGCTGCTGCAATAAAACAAAGCTTTTGTATGTTAATGTTAGTATTTGGTGATCCCATAACTGTACTATATGTAGCACAGTTTTCGTAAACTCAGATTTGGAAATGTTTTTATCCATGTATTGCAGGCAAAGGAAATTCTGCAAAAAGAATCAAATGTTCAAGAGGTGAAATGTCCCGTAACCGTTTGTGGTGATGTGCATGGGCAGTTCCACGATTTGATGGAACTTTTTAAGATGGGGGGGAAGTCGCCAGATACTAATTATCTATTCATGGGTGATTATGTTGATAGAGGCTATTATTCCGTTGAAACTGTTTCACTGCTAGTTTGTCTAAAGGTTGATTTTTATTATATTTTCCAATATTCGCTATTTTATTCGCATTAGTTTTTCATGAGATAAAGTGCTTGATTTCTTTTATCTCAGGAAACTAGAAAATGGGATAGTTGATTTAGAAAATGCCAAAAGAGAATAATATCTTCGGAAATTTTATTAATTCATGCTTAAACTGTTTTCTATTTCCGAATTCTTCCCTTTTATATTCACTAAATACACTTCTCTAAAAAGAGTGTTCGTTCTTCACAACCTCGAGTCTTCAAATTTTCTCTTGTTGTATCACCTAAGTCCGTTGTAAAACACTTGCTTCCTTTACGATTTTTCTTTATTAAAGGTTAGGTACAAGGAACGCGTCACTATTTTGCGTGGGAATCACGAGTCTCGACAAATTACGCAGGTATCTTATTACCTTTTATTAGAATGTTGTGAAAAATAGTTAAAAAAAGTCACATGAAGAGTGGTGAAATTTGAGGACAAACCGTATTATATAAGTAATTCGTACAGAGAAATCTTTGAATTGTAGAAAATTGAATTGGTGGTTTACTTTTCATTTTCATTAACTTAGTAAATTTACATTATACAGCTTTATAGCTTGGGGCGATCAACTTTAGAAATTTTTTGTTTTCAAAAGCTAAATACATAAAAAGTATTTTATGTTTTTGATTTCAGAGGATTGGAGTATATATATTCAGGTACTTTTTTTCTAGGTGTACGGGTTTTACGACGAATGTCTTCGTAAATATGGCAACTCAAATGTTTGGAAGTATTTCACCGACTTGTTTGACTATTTTCCATTAACAGCTTTGGTGGATGGTCAAATTTTTTGTTTGCACGGTGGTCTTTCGCCATCTATTGACAGTCTTGATCATATTCGAGCTCTAGATAGATTGCAGGAAGTCCCTCATGAAGGTAATCATTTCATTGTATTTATATTAGTGTTTCTGTTCTGCTTTGTTTTACTGTTTTTGCTTCAAAATACTTTTTTTTATGCCTCATATTTATTCTAGGTCCTATGTGCGATCTGCTGTGGTCTGATCCGGATGATCGTGGTGGTTGGGGCATCTCTCCACGTGGAGCAGGATATACATTTGGTCAGGACATTTCGGAGACTTTCAATCATTCTAACGGTCTCACGCTTATTTCAAGGGCACACCAGTTGGTTATGGAGGTATATTTTTAATAGTAATAGTCACAATCTATGATTAAGGATGATTTGTTGAGGTTTTGCATGAAATATATTCAATATATGGATGCACATAAGTTTAATTAAGAAATGTGGAAATTTTCTGCTGAACTTCTTTTTAACAACACACATTGGCAATCGGTTATTTCATGACGAAAAATTCGAAGATTTTTTTGTTCAGTATGCACTGACAGACGTTATCATTTTCGTATATTGCTTGTTTATAGTTCTTGCAGTTATGTTGTTAGATAACAGTTTTCTTTAAAACTCTGCTAGAATAATGCACTACAATTTTTATTTCTCTAAAATTTTCGAGTTTTGGAATACTTCTTTGTTGGTTCTTTGTTAATGAAGTATTTAGTGTTGTTTATTGTGGCAGACAATTTTCCATAGAAATCAGCTTTATTTATAATTACTATTCCATAATTGCTGTTTCAGATACTTTGAATGTTTTACAGGGTTATAACTGGTGCCATGATCGCAATGTTGTTACCGTTTTCTCGGCTCCCAATTATTGCTACCGATGTGGAAATCAGGCAGCGATGGTTGAATTGGACGATGAACTAAAATATTCTTTTTTGCAGTTTGATCCGGCCCCTCGCCGTGGAGAACCACACGTAACGAGGCGAACCCCTGACTATTTTCTTTGAATTGACAAGAAATCAATCCTTTTGCTACATTAATCTGGTGTTCATACCAAAGAATGCTTAAACTTTTTGCTTAAAAAAAATCCAAGCATGTATTCCTCGAAAGTATGACTTTCATCCAAATGCAATGCAGAACTTTATTTGTGACAAAGAACGCTAGTTACAGACCATATTAACAGTTTTTTTTCAATAATTAATGTTTATTCATTGCAAAAATAAACATTGCGAAAAGCCCTAATATGATTGGTCCAGATGTATAAGGATTAAGTGGTCATCCACTTTTGTAACTGAATGGACGTTGAATTCGTTTTCTTGTTACGGTCATCATCTTTTCTTGCGGCTTCTAAATTATCGTTTACTTATTTTGAAAAAATCCATGCTGATTTTAAAGGTACCATCTTTCCGCTGTCACTGACGCATCTTATTATGATAAGAAAATATTATGAACGTGAAATTTTTTTTTTCATTTTCAAAAACTATCTTAGCAGTAGAAAGTTTACAAATATTTGCTTTATTGCATGAAGGACATATAATTAAGAAAGCTTTATATTTACTAAACTACTAAAGTGTAAATATGTATTTCTGAAATTTTGACTAGTGAGTTTACAATTTGGCCATGTATATTACTTATACTCTTTGACCATAGTGGATATAAAATAACTGTTGCTTTATTGTTGTTTAAAATTTCTCATGTTATTTCGACAATGGTTAGTCACTGAATTTTGTCATGTGCTTGTTCATCAGAAGTGGACTTGCTTTTGAGCTATGGTGGTAAACTGAGTACTATCAAACTTGTTAACTGCTTGGACTTGGACAAGACAATGTTTGTATTCAGACACCTTTTTTTTTTGAAACTGCAACCAAGACATCATTTTCTGAATGGTTCGAGAAGATGTCGGGTCAGTGTTCACCATTGTTCAAATTAAATTTGTTATTCCGGAATGTTCGGCGGATTTGCATCTGCATAATATTACTTTGTCTTTTAAAAACTGCTTTCGACTGTAGTAGTATTATTACCTGCCAACTGCGTGTGGCATTCATTTTGTGTGTACGTCATTTGAGACTGTGTTCATGGTCATGAAGATTTTAAATATACAGGTGCGTTGTTCTAGTATATATTTTGTATATTCTATCAGCGTTGTATAGTAATTTAAATCAATTTCTGAAACTTTATTTAGTCGTAAAAAGTTTACACAGACGATGCGCTCGTTTGTCATGGTTATCACCATTTTCATAATTGTTTTGTCGGATCTATTTGTTATATTTTTCTTAAGGTTTTCATCAGATTGGCTGATATTTAAATGATATATCAATATTTTTTGCACTGTGAAGAATAGTAGGCCGAACTGTGAAGAATAGTGGGCCGAATTGCAAAGTTTTATCTTCGGTAGGTTGGTTCTGCTGAAGTCCATATAAAATTTATAAATCATTGCTAGGTGGTCTCGACACTATGTTATTTTGATTTCATACTTTAGCTCGAATGCATCGATTGCGTCATGTAGATGTTAAGCAAATCGAGTTGCTGAGGTATGCATCGGCCACTTTAGGAAGTGGAAATTTGCGTGAGGCTGTAAAATTACCACAGGGCGAAGATCCCAACGAATGGATCGCTGTAAATGGTACGTACACTTATGTTGATGGTCAGGAATCCTTATTAGGGGATGTAGTATTACGATTTCCGTGAGTTACAGATGTTGGTATTTTTTCCGTAACAGGTGAAACAGATGGAAAGATGGAAAGAAAATTGTAAAGACGGACTAATTACAGTTGTAACTTTCAGTTTTGGATTTTTTCAACCAAGTGAGTATGTTGTTCGGGACAATAAGTGATCACTGTACGAAGGAATCTTGTCCCAGAATGTGTGCGGGTCCGAAATATGAGTACGTCTGGTTGGATGGTAGGAAAACAATTGTATGTCCAGCGCCTGTGTATATCGATTATTTGATGACTTGGGTGCACGAGCAGTTAGATGACGAGAATATCTTCCCTTCTCAGATTGGTAGTTCTTTCTCCTGCTTAACTGTTTACATACAAAAAAGTCCCTCTAACTTATTTTTCACCTGCATAATACATTTGATTAGGACTGGTGACGCAAATAGGTTTGTATGTAATGACGACTTCGATTTTTCACACTTTTCGCTCTGACTTTTCAATGGGTCATTTGAGTTCAGGACAGCCTTTCCCACCAAATTTCTTGCATATCGCACAAGCGGTTGTGAAACGACTATTTCGAGTGTATGCTCACGTGTATCATCAACATCTCGGACTTATTGGTATATGCTTTCGATTCTTCCTTTACTCGGAATTCGTGAAGTCGTTCATCGTTTATAAATTGGGTTGTATTTACAGCTTCTACGAAGCTTGCAAAAGTGAGTGGTGCAGGTAGTGTAAAATGGTATATTACACGGTGGAGTGATTCATACTTGCTCGACATGAGACAGAACGACATTGTGCAACTAGATTGGGATATTTAACCTTAAGCTACCACTTTTCTTTTCAATAACATGGGAACAGTTGATGAAATTCCTGCTGTATGTCGAGTTACTGCTTACAGTCTGTAGGTCCCATGACTTGTTTTGCAAAGGACATGTTTTGTCTAGTGTGTTCTACTTTAGTTTTGCTAGTTTACATTTTCAACCTAAGTACCACTTTCAAACGGAATGAGTTTGAAGTAGATAAGGAATTGTAATCCTTTTTCCTGCATTTCAGAACAACTTAATGCAGTAGAGCATTTAAATACCAGCTTCAAACATTTCATGCTTTTTATACAAGAATTTGACTTGATTGATTCAAAACAGCTGGCACCTCTGCAAAGCTTCATTGACCGACTTACTCTGGATGAGAATTCGACAGTGCTATGATGACTGAAGATCAACTGCTTTTTTGCTACCTCACCACGAGATGCTGAATTTTTTGTTTAATGGCACGGATATGCCTCAGTTAGCTTTCGGTAGTGTTATCATCTGCTTGTTGGAAAAACAGCAAGTGCTTTTGATGTT